ATCCCACCTATCTAGTCAATTAAGACCACTCTAGGCGGCTAGATACACATGAGCTTTATTTATTTTTTTTATTTATTAAATTTATACTCTGTCCATTTAGACCCAAGTCTACTCTGGGCAGCTAACAATAAAAAATAGCATAAAAGCAATATAATAAAATCTCACACATACCCCTTATCTAATGCATCTCTGCCCATCACTTTCCCTACCTCCAGTGCCCGTTATATGTGCTGTCAAGTCAGAACTGACTTGTAGTGACCCAAACAGGGCTTTCAAGATGAGATACTGGAGGAGTGGTTTTATCAGTTCCACACAAACCCGGAGAGCTTCCGTGGCTGAGCGAAACGAGGTCTCCTGGGTCTTAGTCAGGCATTCTATCCATTACATTGCTTTTGTTACATCAGTTGGACCTTCCTGTTTCAAATTTTCTTCAAATCTCTCCTTAAAATTCATCTTTTCCATGAAGTCTTTGCCACGACCCCGTAATAATAATTTAAAAAGCCTAAGTATCTGCTGTTTCAATAAACACATAAGCCTAAATCCAATTGCATCTCCTAACTAGAGTAAATCTAGTGAGTCAAAGGGACTTACACAAGTGTTGACTGCCATTCAGCATTGATTCATTAGGTCTGCTTGGGACTAAATTGGACTGTAGGTTCAGTAGGACAGGGAATTCAGCCTCTTATACATCCTAGTGTACTATGCACATTCATGGTAATAATTAATAATAATAATATGTACACATATGTGGACATGACAAGGAGCTAAAGTTTGACATTATTATGGCACAAGCTTAGCGCTTCTTGCTAGTTTACCTCCATCTAGTTTACCTCCATCATTCTCCTGTCTAGCCTGGACGAGCAAGTACATAAAGGCTGCCTGTAATTCAGCACCATAGACAGCAGCCACTACTTTTCCAGTAGCATTTTCAATAAGAGAAAGGGGGACTCCTCAAGGTTATGAAGCATGCTAGATAATAAACCACCTACAATCTTAGTTCAGCTGACTTTTGGGCTAGGGAATGCAGCTCAGCTGCTGTCTTATCTCAAGCCACTCCAAAGCAGTAACAATGGGACTTGAGTGATTAGCGGTGTGCATCAAATTAATTTCTCCATCCATGAAACCTCTCTAGATTCCAGTGGTGGCTAGTGCCCCTGCCCTATGGCATCCTCATCTTCGTCTATGATGAAATCCGAAAGCTGGGAGTCCGGAGACACCCTGGAAGTAAGTAACAGGCAGGGAAGGGGTGGTGGGTAATCCATATAACCTTGGCATTTCCCGTTGGTGGTTGCTTCTTGTATGCAATGTTACAATGGTTCTTAACCCCTGCCCTTCTCCATGTGTTGGGTTGTAATTCCAATGATTCCTGATCACTGGCTGATGATGGGAATTGTAGTTCAAGGTACTCTACTGTAACTACAACCATTGTGCATAACCCATTCTTCCTCTCCATGTCAAACAAAATACTGTGTAAAACAGCTCGTTCTGGCTTAGCCAAAGCTCTGTAATTCTTGAAATCACGTCCCTGCTCTGAACCTAAGAAATAGCCCTTCAGATGATGGTAGACTCTTAATCTTCATCCATCCTAATCATCAACAAGAGGAACCATAAACCCAACACCTGGAGCCACAGGCTTAACGCTTGTTTCAGCTCTTGATTTTACAGCCACATCATTCAATCCCCTCTTTAAGCAGTTACTAGAGAAGATGCTAAGCTCTCCCGGCGACCACATTTAGAGTCTTCTTGCTCCTCCAAGGGTTACAGCCCTTGATCTCGGCACCTCTCTTTGGTCACTGCCAGCCTGTGATCTTCCACTGTAGCACCCGTGCATAGCTTCTCCAGTTGTCTCTTATGACAAAGATAGCACTGTGGGACGGATCTAATTCCACAATAGGTAACTGAGGATGTTGCAGCGGCCAAATAAATCTAGAAAGGTCAGGTTCAAGCTCTGAACCCAAAAAAGGACAAATGGTTTCCCATCCACAGTAGCTGAGAAGATGCGAAGTACATCTACGCTGTGGGGCCAAGGGCTCCGATCTCACCTCTTTCATTCTGTCTTCCTCCAGGTTGGTGGGACAAAGAACTCTACTATTAAAGGCCATGCTTTCTGGAGACCGCTGTCTGAACCAGCCTGGGGGTATGAGAAGCTACAGCAAGAAGGAGTTAAGGATACACAACTGTCCCAAACGCGCTGCATTTTTCACACCTCTTAAGACAAAGCTTTATACCCCACTTGCCCTTCATCAAAACACTAGTTGGGGGTGTTGGTGTACAGAGAGGAAGGGAACACTACAGTACTCTGCATATGCTGGGATGGCAGCTTGATACAGAAATTGCCACAGGATACAGAGTTACATACTTGATATCAATAAGACATAGAAGATAGGAGAATGAACAAGACTGATCAAGAGCCGGCATAGCTTTGTCTCTCTCCTCTGAAGGGTGGAAGTGAAATAAAATTAGATGAAATAACCAACCGAGTGCCAATGATCATTATTTACAAAGAACACGAGGGCCTGAGCATTAGTTTTTGCATTAAGCACAGGGTTTTCACAGTTACGGTTGAAGATGATCGGAGGTGATCAACTTGAGCAGAATGAGATTCACAGTCTCTCTTCTGATTGTTCAGAAGTATAAAGCCTAAAATTATTTTCGCCTTTTTTGCAGCCACATTGCACTGTTGGCTTAGATTCAGCTTGTGATCTACAGCACTTCCAATTGGTTAGCACTACTTTGCGCAGATAGGACTGACTAGCAGATTTTTATAGTCCAGTCCCATTTATAGCCTCGTTCACAAGGGTGTGTTAACAGTCTCCAGAAATGTGATACAAGGCAAGACCACTACATATCCCTGTTTTCTTGCTTCTGCAGACAGCTTGCCCCGCTGGTACCTTCTGCCTACATCAGGTCCCAGAAGTAAGCTATACCACTGCCAGAAGTAGTTACACCACTTACATGACCCATTCATCTGAACCCAAACAGAAACACAGAACTGCAGCGCTTGCCAGAGACACAAGGATCAGGCAGCAGTAATGCTGAGCTAAATCACACAGCTCTGTGTATCAGCCCATACAGTAGATTAAAGCCACCTTATAAATAAGTCCATAAGGACAGCTCATCTGTTAAAATAAAATAAAATAGTATTAGCCTGCTAAGAGGCTAGCAGCTGTGAAGGATGGAAACCACTTTCTCCCCACTTCGGCTCTCACATATTAGCCCTGCAATGTCACCAACGTGCTGGAGAGGCAGTAAGTGCAAAGGATCTTTTCAACACCTTGGGTGGCATTCCAAAAAGATAGACCAATGTTGGGAAGAAGGGTTTAATGAAATAAAATTACAAACCAGTCGATTAATAAATCTCCAGAATTAGCACTTCTTACTCTTTTTCTGGGGGGAAATGAATCCATTTTATACAAAGCCTTAATAGGCCATCTTTTGACTGCAGCAGCAAGACAGACCACAGCAAAAGGGTGGAAAAACATCCAGTGAGTATCAATTGCAGCAGGCTACTCAAGAGTAAGGCAGGCAGCACTGCAAGAAAAATTAACCACCAAATTGCATATAAGGGGATACTTTAACTCTTTTGCAACTGACTGGCACCCTTATATTGTTTGTATGAATAGAATGGATAATAAGGGACTCCCTGATGTATACAGAAATTATTGGTCATTGTAGTATACTTGGAAGATATTTATAATTTTCCCTGAAAAGACTTATAAGAATTTTGGTATGACTTTGCCATGGAGATGGGAGGGTGGAAGGGGTGATGATGATAATGGAAACCACTTTCTCCATGACCACCATGAAATATAAGTTACCATCCAAAAATTGATTATTATTTAACAGACAGCTGGAAGAGATAAGGGTCGCTCCCTCTTTATCTACCATGACATCTCCACGCTGGTCATGAAGTTCTTTTCTGCCACAGGAAACCAGGCAGGCTGATGGAGGAGTGATTTGTCCCTCCACCAATCACCCCCTCACACACCGGCATGGAAATTTCTGTTCGCCTATGGTGACCATGTGAGCTGTTAAATGCAAGACTGGGTGAAAGGGTCATACCTTCACATGCATATGGAATTTTTTTTTGTAAAGAGTGTTTTCACGAAGTATCCACTCCACTACACCCACTGCAAAGGCTACTTTCACCAGAACCCTTCAGTTACTACCTTAACCATCATCCCCTCTTAAGCCATATCTGCTTAAGTCTAACAGCCCACTTCATCCCGCATCTAAATTTTGAGACAGCACGTGCTTTCAGAGCAAGACTTTCACCTTATTTGTCTCACTTTGGAATGACGAGAATCATATGGAGGTTGGGGGCAGTTTCCCCTTTAACGTGACCATCTGAGTGCCTCCAAGCTAAAGTCACCACTAAACTTCCCCAACTGTGTCTGTGACAGAAAGAAAAACTCAAGACGCACTTTCATGCCATTTCCGGAAGGCATCACAACTATGTTAACACAACAGCCAGATGTTTAACATGTGCAAGACGTAAAAAAACCCACAAGAATACTTTTATTGTTGTTATTATCTCTGCCGCTTGAGAATACAGCTTCTGATCTCACAGCAGCGAAGACCAAACCGTGTGTTGTGTGTCACGGCAACAAACGAACCAGGAATGCAGAGTTTGCAGCTTTCCCTGGCAGGAAAAGAGGGAGGCCCTCAGCTGCTATGCACCAAGCTGACAAAGAGGGTCAAGGAGCTGAGGGAAAGGAGGCCGGTGATCACCGCTTTAACCAGGAGGGCTGTCCAGCTGCCCAGGAAAAAGATATGAACAAAAGACCTGGAAAGACAAGAGGGAGGGAGAGGCTGGTAAGGAAATGTCAAGGAATTGTAAGCATGAAGAGGTTCCTGCTGCTGCACCAATTAGGCATCCTTCGGTCTCGAGAGACTATGGTAACATGCTCTGTATGGAGGACTTGGAACACTGTCTAGTGTGGCTGAGAAGGCCAATTCGAGAGTGACCATCCCTTCCGCATCATTCCACTGAAAATGTCTGTGGTCTCGAAAAAACAGAAACATTTTCTGGGGCAGCTTCTTGATGCCCTTTTTCATGGGAGATACAGGGATTCGAACCTGAAATCCTGTAAACCCATTAAGCCGAGGTGGGCAACTTTGCAGCTCAACAACTTCTGCTCTCTCCATGATGGCCCACGGCGGGATGTGCTGGTTAGAGGGGCCGGGTGGCGAAGGCTACTGAAATCTGCAAAGCCATGCACTGTTCCCTCTGATGCTGCACAACAACAGAGCGACAGCACTGCATAACAGTGCCCTGCCAAGGTGCCAGTCAGCCAGTCCTGCCCCTTTCCCCAGACAACTTCGTTCCACAGCCCTGCTCCCCCCAACTGCCAACCAGCAGCAAACATTCCATGGCCGTTAGGCCACTAGGTCCCAACCTTGGATCCCCAGGTGTTCTTGGAGTCAAACTCCCAGAAGCCTTCACTATTCCCTGTCTTGGCCAGGATTTCTGGGAGCTGCAATCCAAGAACATCTGGGGACCCAAGGTTGAGAACCCCTGCTCTTGAGCTGAACCTTTTTTGTACAACATCTCCCAGAGTTCTGAGACCTCCAGAGGAGGGAGGGAGGGAGGGGGAGGGGGATAGAGAGAGAGATAGAGAGAGATAGAGAGAGAGAGATAGATAGAGAGAGAGAGAGAGAGAGAGATAGATAGATTACTCCCTGTCTTGGCCAGGATTTCTGGGAGCTGCAATCCAAGAACATCTGGGGACCCAAGGTTGAGAACCCCTGCTCTTGAGCTGAGCCTTTTTTGAACGACATCTCCCAGAGTTCTGAGACCTCCAGTAGAAAAAGGAAGGAAGGAAGGAAATAAAGAAATGATGGATGGATGGATGGATGGATGGATTTTTATGGTTTGGTGTGGGATTCCTCCTCCCTTAGCCTGCTCATAAGATCCAGGGAACCCCACAGCATGAAAACCACATCACTCACCTCATTGGTCAACAAGACTTTCCATGTCTTAACAGACAGTTCCTTCCACTGGTTGAAAGAAACAGCCTATCCCCTCCCTGCCCTTTGATCCCACCTCCACCCCTGGAACGCCCAATCAACTCACTCCATGAAGAAGGCTTTGTAGACACTGACTCCCAGGAGGAAAGTGAGGGGTAGCCGGTAGTGTTTGGGTAAGTCGTAGCGTGTAAACATCCACACGAGAGCAGCCATGGCAATATAGTGGACCTGAAAGCAGCCCAAGAAGAGAATTTTAGGATGCAAGGTATGGAAAAGGGGAAGATTTGGGATTGTTTATGGGTCACAACCTAGCATGCAATATATTTTGAACTCTGCTCTTATGACATGCAAACCAACAAACAAAAGCCCCACGAAGGGTGGCAGTGAAATATTTACCATTTGGGATTGTACCAAGCCATGCCCTCTTCAAGGACAACCCCCATTGCATCTTTTCATCTCCCGGGATCTTTTTTCCATCCTTCTTCCACAAGTCAGCCAACATTCCATGGCTACTGAACAAACTCGGTTTTCATCAAGCTGTGTATGTGGGGGGAGGCATCCCTCTTATACTGATCCCCCCCCCCATTTCGGGTATTTCTGCTAACCTGGATGTTTGCTCATCCTGTGTGAATGATGCTATCTTGGCTACCCAAGAATCCACATTCAGAGAATCAGGCCACTATTAAGAGGTGATTGCTATCTGCTAAGTCACCTCTGATGAAAGCATGACTTCCAAAATATTATTACTATCTACCCCTTTCCGTTTTGCAAAGTCAAGGTTATGGTTTCCTTTAACAGAGTCACTCCATCTCATATTTTGGCTTCTCCCCTTCCTTAAGTATCAGTGATTAAAATGCCAGGTGGTCTGTTCTAAAAACCCTATGGATGAACTACATAATCTGTCTGTCTTTATATATAT